GGATATAGCTCGCTAGCAGCCTCACACAAGATGACCTAGTTGATGTCATCATTTACCCAGAAAAGAATGCTTTGTGTGTAAATAAAATGGCCCCATCCGTGTAATACAGTATACTGTATTTTTAAACTTTTAGTTTAAAAATGATAGAAACTAAACATCCTACAGTATGTTTACAGTCTTTATTTTACAGTTAAAACATWTGTTTATCAAATAAAGTCTAATGTTACAACTAATCGGGGATCCCTTTAAAACTAACATATTGCTAATTAGAGTCCTGACTTGGAGCACAGCACAAATTAGCTAAMGGGTTACTGAAATGTTAGAATTAAACAGGCAAATCCTCTTAATTACTTATTAATCCACTCTGAAGTGTAATCTGATCAAAGAGCTTTGAGAAGTTAGGACCAGCTCCTCTGAACGTTTTCAGCAGTTTGGTTTGAGGGCAGAAAATTCAGGAAACTATTCTTCAAATTCTGAGAAACATAAAGCAGCTACTTTCAAAACTAATTTTATATCTTCAGCAGAATAACAGTCTCAGATATTAAAGAAAATACAGCAGCTGTTTTTAATTTAATTTAATGTTAATAAGAACCATTCCTCCAGGAGAGAGGTAAAAAAGTTAAACATTGAAAACTACAAGCAAAGAAAGCCTCTCCTCCAGAGGCGTTAAGTGTAAACTCTGGTGTTWTACTCACGGATACATGGCCATCGTGGTGATTCTGGTGTAGAGCTCTTTGCTGGGCACGTCCGTCGTGTTGCATGTGAACAACTGAGGTGGGTGGAGCTTGTGCTTGCGACAGAAGTCGTGCGGCGACAGGCTGTGTTGCTGCCGTACTTCATGCAGGTCTGACTTGGCTGCGATCACCACGCACGGCGTCTTGCTGTCTATGAAGTATTGCTGCAAAACGAAAACCTTAAAATGTAACTGTGTGGGTTATAAAATCAAACCGTTAACACATCTGCGGTGATGTTTCAGTGTACACACCTTGTATACTTTAGCACAGTACTCAAAAGAGCGGGGATCGTTGATGTCGTACACAAGGCAGACCACGTCGCAGGTCAGGTCTGTTTCAGACAGGAAGTCGACATCTGGCATCACCTCATGGAGCTGCAGGTGAGAAGTTACAACAAGAGAACAAAGAGAGGAATCAACTTTCTGTCTAAACTTTTATACTAAGTGATGATTTAACAATAATCCAAGAGAGAGCAGATAATACACCCGCTTTAAGGAAAAAATTCTTACCAGCAGGTACTTCTCCTGACCGTAAACGTAGGTCGTATTAATGGCGTAAAATGACTTGTGGTCCTCTCTGATCCATGTCTGTCGCTGTGAAATCAAGTCAGTTACATTCATTTCAGACAACTTCTGCTAAAATCTGTTTTGTTAATAACAGATTTTTTTTGTTGTATGAACTTATTCTTGGGAAAAAAGGGGCAGATATAAGATTTTTTTCTTCTCTCTGCTGCCTTTCATTTGATTTTATTTGTGATTTTGATATATTTCTAAACTTTTTTCTCATTTTTCTTTTTATATTTTTTTCTTTTTATTGTATATTGTATATAAATGTATTTGTTTTGTTTTAATGAAATTAATAAATAAATTGAATTGAAAAAAAAAACATCTATTAAAGTTCARTTGAAACACTTCTATTTAAAAAACTAACTACAGAAATAACGTTCAAACACACCTGTGTGGCAGTAACATCCACAGTTGAAAGTTAGATGTTGTTACAGCAGTGACATAAACAATCAGGAAGTGTTTTTRTGTTTGTGACCTGCAGGTTCCTGCCGAGGAACGCCTGAAGAAAACCGCTTTTCCCGCTGTCTTGTGCGCCCAACACATTGCAGCGAAAAACGCTGCGTTGAGTCTGTTTCTTCTGCAGGTCGATGCGCTTGTTCCGAGTCACTGGAAGAGAGGCGAATGCAAACACTCAATTCAGGAATACACAAAGATAACGGCGACGTATATACTGCGTTCATAGCCTTTTACCTGTTATAGCAGCGGCTTGAGACTCCTGCTCGTAGATGATTGAGTAGCCGAGGTAACCCAAATACTCCAAACTGCGCTGCACATCCAAATATGTTGTTAATCTACCAAAAAAAGCAGGAGACAGAAATCATCAGTGATTTACACGAGTCCAGTTAAATATAACTGCACTGAAAGCCTGGTTTGTGTCCTTGTATGAAGGTTTTTGGGTCGAGTTAATGAGTGCGTCTGTGTTTGTGTATATTTAGAAACACTTACGTCCACTGGGAGAGGTATCCCTGGTATGTGATCCAGCCCTTATCGTTGGTGCACACTGTGTTGTTGACGTCTGGACCCCAGGGCATGTAGGGGAACACTTTGAACAAGTCCTTCACCTCCTCTGGTGACAACGCACAGTCTCTGTCCTGGATAATACCAACACACGGTTTGTTTAAAACCTCGTTTTTGGACATTAAAAGATAAATAATGCAAATAACCAAAGTGAACACAAAGAGAGGATATCCTCACAGAAATACAAAACTAAATATTAGTGACGACACAATGACACTCCTAAATAAAAATGAACATCCACTCACTTTGTCGTGTTTGTCAAAGACGCTCTGAAGGAAGAGGTAAGCGTTGTGGTTCAGCTCGGTGGTGCAGTCAGGAGGAATCTTTACCCTGAAAACAGACGGACACAAACATTATTATTAACAGCTGACTCTTGATCTCTGGATCTCTGAGTTTGCATCACTGTGCTCCAAACAGGTCCTGGTTCAGTTTGAGTTACATAAAAACACAWGACCAGTCAAACAATCAGTAATAAACAGGAAATTAGGACAGCTGTCAATCTGTGATTACAATCAGATCTTTATAAAGTCACCAAACTCCACCCAGAAAGGTCCCTCGGCCGGGATTTGATCTGAYGACCTGCTTGCTGAGAGGTATCAGCTCTACTAACTGAGCYAGATATTCTCTCAGAGATGTGAACAAGTCTTTTTTTTGCAAGTCCAAGTCTTTGACCAAAAATCCAAGTCAAGTCTCAAATCTCTTGACTTCAAGTTCAAGTCTCGTTGCAGTTTGATTACAGGTATTCTAAATGTACTAGATTATATTCTATAATACTATATTTTAATCAATTATTAAAACATAGTATTATGTTTTATAATACTATTAAAACATAATATTGTTTTGAAAATACAGATAAGGTTAAGGTTGAAATAACAACGATCAAGCATTTAGAGTATTGTTAACTGTATTTTGCACTGGTACTTTGTTTATTTATTAACTTTTTTATTTATTCATTTGTTTATTTATTTTATTTTATTTAGAAATTTATTCATTTCATTTAAAACAATTATATACACAACAGAAAACAAAAGCATGGATGTGTATTTAGGGAGTGAGCATTATGAGCCGGGCAGTGAAAAGACTTGCATTGAGTCTCAAACCACAAGTCCAAGTCAAGTCTCAAGTCTTTAGGGTCCAAGTCCAAGTCAAGTCTCAAGTCTTTAGGGTCCTAGTCCAAGTCAAGTCTCAAGTCTTTAGGGTCCAAGTCTAAGGCAAGTCTAAGTCTCTAATAGTAGGGACTTAAGTGTGACTCAAGTCTAAGTCTGAGTCACGAGTCCCCATCTCTGTATTTTGTTAATTAGCAAAACTAGTGTGCAGCCATTTATTCATAAATTCAGATTTTGCAAACATGATTTGGTTTTATTTTTCATTAGTTCTTCACTGTCGTACAAAAGAGGATTAGGGCCACTGGAAAAAAAAATATGTCCTTTTTCTCAGAATTCTAAGATTAAAGTCAGAATTTTATTTTATTTTTCTCCAGTGACCCTAATCCTCCATCGTTTTTACTGTAGAAACGTTTAAATACAGAAAATAAAACGTCACTCTGCACTCACAGGGGGAACAGGTACTCCTGTGTGAGCTCCAGGTCGTCGTCGTAACCAAACCTCCGCAGCACCGTCCATGTGGTCTCATGCCGACCACGCTGGATGAAGAGAGTGTGCAGGAACAGGAAGCCTAAAATAAAAACAGCAGAATGAAACAGAGGCAATAATAATTTATTTTGCAGTGTCCCACAGACTGCAGCGGCTCTGTGTTGAGTCCAACCTTTAAGTGTGAGTCCATTGTCTTTAACTCCRTCTGTCATGTTCCTCCTCACCACATTCTTCACATCCTCTAAGGCCTGGGGTGCCAGTGGTGTGTTGAAACATGTTCTCTGTGTAAATGTAAGACAAATAAGATGTTAGCATAAAGACAGACAGACCATTTCTAATRCAGGGTTCCTACAGTTTAAAGAAAGTTAAATTTAAGACTTTTTAATGCCAACTGAAATTAAATTTAAGACCAATTTCATAATAAACACAAATGACAAAAAAAACTGTGGCAGCAAGTCATGAATCAAAGTATTTTTGGTTGAAGTATTCAAATATTTTGCTAATAGACCACTTGTTTTATCCATATCTAACAGCTTTTTCATCAAATATAGCAAAAACATTCTTAGCAGTCAGTTTAATGACTCAAAATTTGGAGTTTTAGGACCTACAGTGGGGTCTTAACCCCAATTTGCTGTAGATGAAACTTTAAAGTGCCTGTGACATCAAATATGTAAGAAAAGTTTATGCTTTTTTGAAAAGACAACATTATTAACATATTACAAAACAAATTTCACATTGCTCAGATGGACAGCTGTTGAGATATTTGCATCTAAGTAACAGGAAGTGATGTCAAAGGAGAATGTCTGCATGTATACAGTATAAAAATAAATAAATATTACCAATTATTTTAATAGTTGAGATGAATTACAGTCATCCTACTTAGAATACGTTAACATTTTTAAGACCTCTGAAAGACTGATTTAAGACATTTTAAAGCTAATTAAGGCCTTATTTTTGGATTGACGAATTCAATGACTTTTAAGACTTTTTAAGGATCTGCAGGAACCCTGTAATAGATACAAACAAATAAATTGTATAAACAACRTTAAAATTCCTGACCTGAAAGAAGTTGAGCTCATTATCGTTGAGGATCCCGTCATTGTCCAGGTCAGACACTTTAAATATTCTAGTTAAAGCCTTAATACAGGCAGATTTCAGCTGGAACACAAAATAAAACCRTTAATTAGGTGGGGTTATCTAACTCAGCTGTCTTTACTGTAACAAAGAGAAAAATAATTAATCATCTTCATTTCCTTGTATCAGGTACGTTCCCCTGGAAAAACAAATAAATCACCAAGCCTCCCTCGCTATAAATGTTTCTGGTAAATCAGCTTGAAGCTGAGGTTTCTAAACATTAAAGGAGCAGACGCACATCCAGAGTTTACTTTTACATGAAGAAACATGTTAAAGCTGTGATCGTCACCTTTTCCCCAGCCAGCAGCTCTTTTTGCTCTGCTGTTACTATAATGTCACAACTTCACCTGAGAATAGTAATTTAACAGCAATCACCACCAACAAAACAGGTGYAAATATTTTTTCTAACTCGTCTGTTTATTGTACTCACACGCTTTTCTAAATTCAAGCGCTGCTCAGACATTAAATGAATTATGTGGTTCAGACAACATAAAGACACAGAGGTAACTTTCATTCCCTCCATGACATTTATCACCAGCAGTGGTGCCCTGCCAGATAAAAAGGTATTAAAATTAGCACAAGTATTTTCTTTACAGGCAGCAGAAATCAAGGCAACAAATACTCGTCACAACTGCAGAGCCTGAGCTCATTTATCCCTGCTCACTGAGGATACAGCAGRTTCACAGCATCAGCCTTTTATAAGAAGATTACACCATCTAGTAGGGCCGAAACGATTCCTCGAATAATTCGAGTAATTCAATTACTAAAAATCCTCCAGGCAAATTATCTGTCTTGAAGATTAAAAAATAGGTCCTGTTAAAATCAGTGCACTTTTGGGGGTCGGAATCTTATTTGAGTTACACAACGCTACAACGTTAGCGATTCCGCTAGCGGTTACACTGTTGACGCGTGTATACTGAGTGCTATTTTTAGCAATAGAAGGAGACAAAGAGTCCCGAAAGGAGGTGCTCAGAAATTGACAGAAATTGTGAAAAGTGTGTGATAATTTAAAATGAAAGAAAAGGCGACAATGCGCTGCATGTCCTCGATGTTTCTGCACCGGAATGAAAACAGCTGATGCACGGACCCAACGAGTCTGGACTTAACAGGTATCTTCACGTTCCCTTTCTTTCTTACTGATCATAGTGGCTACCTGGCAGAGATTTATTTAACAGTGTGGAAGTTCTGTGACCCAAACAAGYCTTAAGTGTGCAACAGACTGAAAGCATGAGCTGAAACACATTAATCTGGTGATAAGTTAAAATGCATTTATAGAAATTAGAAGGATTTGTTTCCTTTTTGCTGTTGCTTTTTATGACTTTGAAACCTGTCATTAGCCTTCATTTATTACTGCTGTTATATATAGCTAACCAGTCAAGACTAAATATTTTATTGCCTAAAATGGGAACCCTGCTCCAACCTAACAACAGTCTTAATAAAAAATATGAATTTACTTTTACTATTAACAATAACATTTGAACTGTACAAAACTCAATGTACAGCACCCACATTTTTATATCACCCATTTTTTTTACTAAATTTCTAACATAAAAGATCACATTCAGTTTTTCAATCCATTAAAATGAATTAYCWTAATTTAGCTTTTTCAGTGRTGGTTAAAAATGATTCAGTGACAGAGTGYTTTTAAGTAATGCCTCCTCCAACCTCACACACATAAATACAAACAAGTGGCGCTTAAAATGCATGAATTAATACAACTGGTATTATAATTATATTTTSATTGCAGCAGGATTGTCACAAGTGTAGATTTGACCCCTTCACAGCTGTATTTGTCATAAAATAAGCTTAAGTAATGACTGCAGAAGATGAGAATTTTTTAATCYGATTACTCGATTAATYGACAGAATAATCAAKWGATTAATCGATGACTAAAATAATCGTTAGCTGCAGCYCTACTATCTAGTTCAATATTTCATTTGGGTTGCTTGCAGCTGAACACATCAAAATATTTTGGACTCATATCTAAGTTTGCATCAAAAGCACGATTATTTACACTTTTAAAAAACTGGTACTTTCATGGGAGACATTTAAATATGTCACAGCAGAAAGAGATCTGTGAACTGATAATATACATACATACATTATACACACACACACACACACACACACACACACACACACACACATATACATTTATATATACACACACTTTTTTTTTTTAAGTCTTCTGTGTGAAGCTCACCTCCTTCTCCTCCGGGCAGTAGAGGGGTCCGGTCGGGTGGAGAACAGCCTTCTGGGCGTAGTAGAAGAGCTCAGAGATGTTCTTAAGATTTTTGGCAGAACACTGAAGAAMAAAAGGGAAAAAAAAGAAAGAAATTTAGTCCAGTTCTTGTAGATGATATTGTTAAACRTAACAGGACAATAAAACTGTTTTGATTCTTAAAACAATAAACAGCTTCTAAAGGCAACACAAATAAAAACTATTATAACACAAAAAGAAGCACATTTTAGCTACAGAATAAAACTTTTCTCCTATATCTTTTCTTTATTTTGGGATATCTGAAGATTTTTACTGAAGCATCTGTTTGAAAAACTGCCTCCGTGAGCTAAAGTTAAGCCAGGATAAACCTGAAATGTAATGTGAGTTAACATCAGCCCAGTCTGAACACAGGCAGCAGTAAAACACCAGATCTGTGACAGTCCAACTCTGAGCCAGCTGCCTGTGTGTCGCTCCTCAGGTCCTCCTCTTCTTCCTCTTTAAACTGTAACTAATCCGTCTGAGGGAGGCRTGACTGAGCTGCCTCACGCCACAGACAGGGAAGTTTGAATTGAACGGATTCCAGCTTCTCAGCGTGTTCAGTCAGTCTATCAGCAGTGTTTAACCTCAGAGCTCAGGGCGCGGTGATATGACTCAGAATGTAAATAACGTCAGGATCTGGACTCGAGTTTAAGAGCTGCAGGGAGTTTTCAAACCTGACCTCAGCCCGTCTCACTTAGACTACAAGTTTTGGATTTATCTCTATCAATAACATGTTTTTTTCTTTGTCTCTTTTCCAGAAGAAGGTGCACCCGGACCAGTTCTTCTGTGTTTGTCTGTGTCTCTTTCCTGTCCCTCAACCAGCCGGTCGAGGCAGATGGTCGCCTGCCCTGAGCCTGGTTCTGCTGGAGGTTTCTTCCTGATTAGCAGGGAGTTTTTCCTCTCCACTGTTTGCTCAGGATGGGAGACTGTGATGAAGTGATTCAACGCAGTCTGCTGGTTTCTTCTTTAGATTATTCTTTTTTATATACAGTGCTCTGAGAGACTTGTTGTGACTTGGCGCTATGTAAATAAACTGAATTGAAATTGAAATTGAAAGGTGGTAATGCTCTCACACCTTTACAAAACCTGATTTTAACATTTAAGTGAGATCCATCAGTGTTCATGTTCAAGAATATGTTTTTTACAGAGTCAATACTTTACCTCTACGCAGGTTTCTATATCCTGGTACTGATTCATGATGGGCAAGATGGTCTCCATGCTGCTGTGCTCCACCAGGTCAGAYTTGTTCCCCACAAGAATCAATGGCACCCTGCATAAAGACGGTTATTATTACTGAGCAGAAACAAGTAATAGATCAACATTTTATCAGCTGCTCAGTAAATTTCATTCCATTTATTCATTTATTTAAAAGATTACTCATTATTATTCAAAAGAATAGAAATGTGCCAGGGTGAGCACAACAAATACTTTCAATCCATAAAGAAAATAAACAATCAACTAAGCACAACAAAAATTGTGTTTGCATTATTAATGTTAAGTAGTGTTGTTGTTGTTTCCTGGTTTGTTTTTCTCTAACCCTGACCCACTGTCGCGGGCTAAAACGGTAACATTTATAAGTAATCCAACAAATGTCAATACACACCTGCTGTCCTTATCTATTCTGTCATTTATAAGAGGAATCCAGTGGCTCGTCACCTTAGACAGAGAAAACACAGCTTCAACATTTCAGCTAAACAGATGAATGTATTATTCAGCTTTTGGACATAAYGCTCTTCTGATCAGCTGCACTCACCTTTTCAATCGACTTCTTGTTGTTAACTGAGTAAACTATGCAGATAACGTTTGCCTTTAAGGACAAACACCAGTTAGTTTATGTGAATATAAACATTAACCAAAAGATTTAAATTAAACTTACCTTGGATATTTCTTGATAGAGTTGCTCTTCTGATTGCTCTGCTTCTAAAGTGTTAAAAATAAAGGGTTATTATTGCAGTGCTTTACATCCTGTGAGGCTTTCCTGCTGCTGTCAAACTCGTTTAGATCTAAGAATTTACTGAAAAAAATCTTTCTACAATCTGGAAACACTAGGAAGATCTAAACACGTCCACAAAACCTGATTTACCAGCCTAGAAATATTTAGGTTAAACTACAGCCTTATTTTTGTTATTAAATTAATTTTTACTTAAGATTTTCTTTATAAATAAATAACTTTAGCTTTAGAGGTAAAGGATCCATCATGATTAGCAGGTCTTAAATGGTTAAACAAGAGCTGGARTCATTAGTGCAACGCTTTAAGAGCTACAGTAGATTTTGTTTGACTAATATCAACTGGTCTGTGCCGAGTGTGTCTGTWTATCAGTGTTTGTAGTGATGGAGATACCTGAGTAGTCCACAATGTGTGTGGGCACCCTCTCTGGTGTGACATCRGCTGGAATCGTTATCTCCTCTGCTCTAAGAGGAACCTGAAAGACACGTTTAAGAACAAAAACAAGCATCACGTGGCTGATATTTTTATACTCTGCTATACGTGCACACAAGCAGCATGTGTGTGTGTGCAATAAAAAGCCACCAGGTATAACAGCACTGTCTGATAATACGAACCTCATCAGGAAACTCCTCACTGACCAGAGACATAATCAGTGACGTCTTCCCCACTTTGGCTGCAGAAGCACAAAAACATCACAAATATTAATTTTACCTAGGATAGCTCCTTTTTATTGACACTTGTGGATAATTTAGGAAGTGGTGGCGAACAGATTATAGTAGCGGAAGAAAGCTGTGACCACATGCCACAAATCCCAATGAATGCTCAAGTTACTGCAGCACAGAACATGTTCACAACATAAAGTGAGGGAACACCAAAACTAGATACTTTTTAATCCATTGTAGCCTACAGCCAAAATGTTTATACTGGTGCATGCACATCTTGTTACAAAGAAGATAAATTACCACATCAATTCCTCCTGTAATGATTTGCCATAGGAGCAAACTTAAAATAGTGGAAATAAATTAATAGTTTTTAATTTATGATGTCAATGTCAATGTCAAATTTATTTATATACAGTGGTTTGCAAAAGTATTCATACCCCTTGAAC